GGGGGGATTTGGGATCTGCTGGCAGGGAACAGGGACAGGAGGAGAGGGAACGGCCTCAGGGCAGCTCAGGGTGGATTTTGGGAATATTCCTACATGGAAAGGAATCTGGAATTGCCTAGGGAGGTTTGGAATGCCCATTCCTGGAGGATTCCAAAGCCCCTGGACGTGGCACTCGGGGACAGGGGCAGCGCAATGGCCTCACTGATCTCAGAGGGCTTTTCCAACCTCAGCGATTCCATGATTTATATTCCAAGTGACCTCTTCCTGCACATCCTGACGGCTGGAATGACCCTTTCCTGTTTTCCAGGGAGCCCGGGAGACCTTTGAGAGCTACTACAGGAAGCAGAGGAGAAAACAAGCTCGGCTGGTGCTGCAGCCTCCCTCCAACATGGTCAGTTCGTCCTGCCCTTCCCAGCCTGGAATGTCATCCCCACTCTCCCACTGCCCCTGGCTCATCCCAAAAATCTCCCTTTGCCCTCGGCCACCTGGGCTTTAACCTCTGCTCCCTCCCTCTTTGTTGCAGCACGAAACTTTAGACGGCTACAGGAAGTATTTCAATCAAATTGTAGGGTAGGTGTTCCTTTTATACACGGCCCTGCTAAAAACGGGTGTCCTGGGCTGCTGGGGAGCCCAGAAAAACCGGGAGAGGAGGGAATGTTGCTATTTTTGGTGGTCCTTGAAGCCAAAATGGGACAGAAAAAGAGAAAAAAATGAAAAAAAAAACCCGAGGTGGTTTGTGCTTTTTAAGTGTTGCAAAGTGAATTTTATCCCCTTTGCTGTGTCACTGGGGGGAGCGGGGAGGGACCTGCCAGCAGCCTGGGAATTTCTGGGGGTTTCTGGGAATTTCTGGGAGTTTCTGGGGATTTCTAGGGGTTTCTGGGAATTTCTGGGAGTTTCTGGGAATTTCTGAGGATTTCTGGGAATTTATAGGAATTTCTGGGAATTTCTGGGAATTTCTGAGGATTTCTGGGAGTTTCTGGGGGTTTCTGGGGGTTTCTGGGAATTTCTGGGAATTTCTGGGGATTTCTGGGGATTTGAGGGTAAACAATCCCTGTGGATTATGTGCATCTTCTTGCCCCTCTAATGACATGAACGGGCCCTTCTGCCTCAGTGATTCCGCAGTATTGAATAATTATTCTTGAGTTATTTTCCTGCTGAAGGAGGTGTTTCTCTGCTCCCCAGAGCTGCTGTTTTGTCACACTCAGATTTGACAAAAAAAATCTTCCAGAACTGAGCTCCGAGAGGAGAATTCCGAGGGTTGCTGATCCATAAAAATAGCAGGGGATTCGTTGTTTATTCAGCTAATAATGAGAATTATTTCAATACCTAATTATGACCTCCACGAATTCCACGTGCTCTGCTCCCCTCGTGCAGCTCCCTGCTCCTGGGCTGGATTTCCTTGGATAAAATCAGCTGGAAATTGGTGTGACACCGATTAAAATGTCCAGTCTCACCCTCATTCCCTGGAAAACACTTCCTTTTGGAGCAGCAGAGTTGATACCTGGAGATTGGAGTGGATTGATTGTCTGGGAATGGCTGGGAGCACGTGGTGGAGCTGGGGTGGCAGGGAGGATTTTCCCTGCACTTCCAACATTTTCCCCTGCAGTTCCAACATTTTTCCCTGCAGATAAAGCATTTTTCCCTGCAGATAAAGTAGTTTTCCCTGTGGATAAAGCAGTTTTCCCTGCAGTTCCAACATTTTCCCCTGCGGATAAACCATTATTCCCTGCGGATAAAGCATTTTTCCCTGTGGATAAATCAGTTTCCCCTGCAGATAAAGCAGTTTTCCCTGCATTTCCAACATTTTCCCCTGCAGATAAATCAGTTTTCCCTGCAGATAAAGCACTTTTCCCTGCAGATAAAGCAGTTTTCCCTGCAGATAAATCAGTTTTCCCTGTGGATAAATCAGTTTCCCCTGCAGATAAAGCAGTTTTCCCTGTGGATAAATGAGTTTTCCCTGCAGATAAAGCATTTTTCCCTGCAGATAGTTTTCCCTGCAGTTCCAACATTTTTCCCTGTACTTAAAGCAGTTTTCCCTGCAGATAAATCAGTTTTCCCTGTGGATAAATCATTTTTCCCTGCAGCCAGAGCATTTTCCCCAGTTGTGATGGGACGGCCGCTGGCTGGAGCAGAGTTTAACCCCTGGTTCTTGCAGGAATAACGAGGTAGAGAACCGGTGGAGAAGGAATTCTGCCTTTGTGCACACACAGAATTTGCAGGGTTTCAACTCCTCCAACCCAGCGCTGTCAAAAACCAGGGAACAAAACCTTTGGAGCCGCCTGGATTTGACAGATCCCCCAAATCCCAGCTGGCCCCGGGGGCTCAGGGACGGCTTTTCCTGTGCCAGAGCTGAGGTTTTGGGGGCGTTTTGTGGCGTTTCAGGTTTTTTGTGGTGGAGGATCACATCCTGCACACGACCCAGGGCCTGGTGAACCGCGCCTACATTGATGAGCTGTGGGAGATGGCCCTGTCCAAAACCATCGCGGCCCTGAGGACTCACTCCGTGAGTAAAAGCCCAGCAGAGCTCAGCTGTTGCTTGACTGTCCTTGACGTGCTGCAGTTCTGCCTTTTTTTTTTTTTTGCCTTTGGAATTCTTTGTTTTCCCTCTTTTCCGATGAGTGTTTAAAGGAGTGACGCGGACACGCGGAAAATTCACTTTCTCCGGCTTTTTTGGCCTCTTGGTTGGCGGCATTTCCCTTCCAAACTCGATATTTGGAAGGGTGAAACAGTGCTTTTATATTTTCATCATTATTTCATTCATAATTTTTGAGGAGCACCAGCAGAGGGAGTGGATTTGTCCCAGAAAATGGGGGGGAAAAGGATCTTTTTTGGCACACTGAGACATGGCCTTGTTCGATACAGGATCAGAGAATCTCAGAGTGGTTTGGGTTGGAAGGGAGCTTAAAGATCATCTTGGTCCCTTAAATTTCATGGCTGGAAAATGGGCTGGAAAATGGGCTGGAAAACCAAATCCAGGGAGAGAGAACGCCAGGAGCACCTTGGGTGAAAATGTGGGAAGAGATGGATGCGAGCACTGGGCTGGAAGCATCCTGGTGCAGGGGGAGGAGGTGGAACCGGCTGGGTTTGAAGGTCCTTTCCACCCCACACCATTCCCCGCACCTGGATCCCTGTGGGATGAGGGACCCCAGGAGATTCCCGGTGTTCCCTCTCCCCATCTGAGTGACTGGAAAGTCGATTTGTCCCAAAAAATGTTGGGGAAAAGGATCTTTTTTGGCACATTGAGACATGGCCTTGTCCAATGCAGAATCAGAGAATCCCAGAGTGGTTTGGGTTGGAAGGGAGCTTAAAGATCATCTTGGTCCCTTAAATTTCATGGCTGGAAAATGGGCTGGAAAATGGGCTGGAAAATGGGCTGGAAAACCAAATCCAGGGAGAGAGAACCCCAGGAGCGTTTTTGGGTGAAAATGTGGGAAGAGATGGACGCGAGCACCGGGCTGGAAGCATCCTGGTGCAGGGGGAGGAGGTGGAACCGGCTGGGTTTGAAGGTCCTTTCCACCCCACACCATTCCCCGCACCTGGATCCCTGTGGGATGAGGGACCCCAGGAGATTCCTGGTATTCCCCATCCGGGTGACTGGAAATTTGCCTCCTTCCCGTGAGCTGCTGTGCAGGCAGAGGGGATAAACACCAACCCCCACGGGGCTGCAAACCTGTGTTTGTTTTCGTTTCGGGTGGGATTTTCTCGGGGCTGGGAGCAGGAGGCTGAGCCAGGCACGGGGTTTTTCGGTGTTCCCAGCTTTGTTGCCGCTCGGGTTGTTTCAAGCGGTGCCAGAAGGAACGCGCTCAGCGGCTGCCGGGGGAGGCTCCTGCAGCACTCACCCAACATTCCGTGATTTCCCAACTCGCTCCGAGCGCTCCCAGTTAAACCAGTGCATCCCAAACTGGGATCTGTGGGAAAGCTCTCACCTTGCCAGGGCCATTTCCATTCTTCCGAGGCAGACAAATTTATCCCTGGATTTTCCTCCTCGCCGCAGACGGGGACATCTTTAATCACTTGCGATGCTTCAGGGCGTTATCTTTCTTCCCGACTCTCCTTTTTGGACAGGGAGATGGAAAACGTGTGTCTCCCAGTCCTTCCCGCTGATTAATGGGGTCGTTCCTCCTGGAGTTTCCAGCGAGCTTTAAATCCCGCTCTCGTTCCAGCCTGGGATCGCTGATTCTATATTTGGGCAGGCTCTGTCTCAAACTTCACATTTTTCAGCACGGGGAGGGTTTTTTTGGCTGCTCCTGGGAAGCCTGGGGGGGACTGGGGCGGCTCTGGGACACGGGGTTGTGTCTGGGGGGTTTGGAGCGGGATAAATCCCTGCTCTGGAGCTGGAATCCAGCTTGTTTGACCTCGGCCCGGGCCGTGGATGCCTGGCTGAGATGCTTCATTACCATCAGACACAACACGGTAAATATTAGATGAGAGGCGCTGTCCCCGTCCCAGCGCTGCGGGATCCGGCTCCTGTGGGTTCTCAGGCACACCTCGGATATCTCTGGGGCAGCCCAAAGCCTCCTCCAGCCCGGGGAGCTGCAGCACCCTGAGCAGCCAGCCCAAAACCTTCCCCAGCCCGGGGAGCTGAGGCACCCTGAGCAGCCACCCCAAAACCTTCCCCAGCCTGGGGAGCTGCCTCACCCTGAGCAGCCAGCCCGGGGAACCCCAGCCCGGGGAGCCGTGGCACCCTGAGCAGCCAGCCCAAAGCCTTCCCCAGCCCAGGGAACCCCAGCCCGGGGAGCCATGGCACCCTGAGCAGCCAGCCCAAAGCCTTCCCCAGCCTGGGGAACAGCAGCACCCTGAGCAGCCACCCCAAAACCTTCCCCAGCCCGGGGAGCCGTGGCACCCTGAGCAGCCAGCCCAAAACCTTCCACAGCCCGGGGAGCCGCAGCACCCTGAGCAGCCCAGCCCAAAGCCTTCCCCAGCCTGGGGAGCTGCGGCACCCTGAGCAGCCCACCCCAAAGGCTCCTCCAGCCCGGGGAGCCGTGGCAGCCTGAGCAGCCCAGCCCAAAGCCTTCCCCAGCCTGGGGAGCTGCGGCACCCTGAGCAGCCCACCCCAAAGGCTCCTCCAGCCCGGGGAGCCGTGGCAGCCTGAGCAGCCCAGCCCAAAGCCTTCCCCAGCCTGGGGAGCTGCGGCACCCTGAGCAGCCCACCCCAAAGGCTCCTCCAGCCCGGGGAGCCGTGGCAGCCTGAGCAGCCCAGCCCAAAGCCTTCCCCAGCCCAGGGAGCCGCGACACCCTGCGCAGCCAGCCCAAAGCCTTCCCCAGCCCAGGGAGCCGCGACACCCTGAGCAGCCAGCCCAAAGCCTTCCCCAGCCCGGGGAGCCGTGGCACCCTGAGCAGCCCAGCCCTCACAACCCTCACGGGGTGAAGCTTCTGGTTCTGGGCCGGGCTCTGTGCCGGGCCACGCGGTCACAGCTCTTCCTCTCTGCCCTCCTCTCCAGTCCTACTGCTCTGACCCCAGCCTGGTGTTGGACCTGAAGAACCTCATCGTGCTCTTCGCCGACACGCTCCAGGTACGCGGGGCTCGGGCCTCTCCTCATCCAGTGCCGCTCCAGCGGGGCTGAGCTGGGCTGGCCAAGCTCCGATTTTGGTATTTCTGGGTGAGGATCACCTGAGGGACACCCTGATGGCTCTGCTGATCCAGGCTGGCCGATTTTGGCATTTCTGGGTGCCATTGTGTAAAAAAAAGTGTAGTACAATGCTGCTTCTTGTTTCAACGAGAAATGTGCACATTTCCTGATCAGCTCTGCTTTGGGTTAAATCTCAGACCACCTTGGAAAGCATTTGCTTTTGGGTAATGCTGTATTTGAAAATGTCCTTTATCCACTCATGGCTGTTCAGCTCATGGAACCAGGCTAGAGCTAGCTGAAAGGAGAAAGCCACCTTCCCTTTGGCTTCTCTGCACAACCTGGTCACTCTGGTAACAATTCCCTGTCACCTGAGGGACAGCCTGCTTGGCTCTCCTGCTCCAGGCTGGCCAAGCTCTGATTTTGGTATTTCTGGGCTGGCATCACCTGAGGGACAGCCTGGCTCTGTGCAAGGAGCAGGCCTCGGCCGCCTCACGCAGGCCTCGGGCGGCTCTGGGGGTTTCTCCCCGGCTCAGTCGCCCCCTGAACCCCTCCAGCAGCACCAGGGGCGGTGCTGGGGGAAGATTTTCCCCTATTCAGGACAGACAATTCCCAGCTACCCTCTGGAGGCTTCATTCCCTTCCCTCCCGCTGCGCAGGGCTACGGCTTCCCCGTGAACCAGCTCTTCGACATGCTGCTGGAGATCCAGGACCAGTACAGCGAGACCCTGCTGAAGAAATGGGCAGGAGTGTTCAGGTGAGAGGCTCTGGAAGAAGCACCTGAGAGCTCTCACTGAGGAGTTTTGGCTCCTGCGTGGAAGTTTTTTAGGGATTAATTATGGAATCAGGGAATGGGTTGGGTGGGAAGGGACCTTAAAACCCATCCAGTGCCACCCCTGCTATGGAGCTGCTGGAATAAATCCAGAGGAGGCCCCGGAGCTGCTCCAGGGCTGGAGCCCCTCTGCTCTGGAGCCAGGCTGGGAGAGCTGGGAATGTTCCCCTGGAGAAGGGCAAAATGCAGGGAATGCTGAGAGTCCCTGCAGGGGCTCCAGGAGAGCTGGAGAGGGACTGGGGCCAAGGGCTGCAGGGACAGGAGCCAGGGAATGGCTTCCACTGGGAAAGGGGAGATTGGGCTGGGATCTTGGCAAGGAATTCCTGCCTGGGCTGCAATTCCCAGATTTGCTGGGGCTGCCTCTGGATCCCTGGGAATGCCCAAGGCCAGGCTGGACACTGGGGCTGGATCCAGCTGGGACAGTGGGAGGTGCCCCTGTGGCACTGGATGGGATTTAGGATCCCTTCCCAGCCAAACCATTCCATGATTCTGTATCCTTGCTCCATCACTGAGCTGTGGCCACTTCGAGATACCCCTGGCTGCTGCTGCAGGAATTTGGGATCACCCCTTGGCCTGGCACCAGCCTCCGGGGGAATGTCCTGACCCAGCAGGAAAACTTTCCCCTCACAGTTGTCCCCCCAACTCTTCTTTTCCCAGAAACATCCTTGACTCAGATAACTACAGCCCCATCCCGGTGTCAAATGAAGAAGTTTATAAGAAAATCGTTGGACAGTTCCCATTCCAGGATTCTGAACTCGAAAAGGTGAATTTTGGAACAGGGAGAGAGGCCTGGCCTGGCTGCTGGGGCAGGAGAGCCTCACACCCTTTGTGGGCGTTGAAAGGATCAAAAAAACAAACCCCAAATCATCCCCCCAGTCCAAATAAACGATAAAAGAGGAAGGAAAACAACGGGAAAGAACAAATATTCCTCCCATGGGATACATTTCTCCTGGTGTGGATGTGGGAAGTGTGATTTGTGTTCCTCTCAGGGTGTTCACAGGTAGAAATATCCACTTCCACTGGCATTTTATTCCCCTATTATGGACCCTGGGATTGGCCTTTATTTGTTTCAGTCTCATATTTAGAGAAAAAGAGCCCAAAAAAGTGGTGGATCTTGGCCTTTGCACGAGCTTGGCAAACCCAAGTGTGTCCTGGTGTTCCCTGGATCCTAAATCCTGCAGGCAGCAAATCCAACCCTGGTGATCCCAGTCAAGGGCTTGGATTTCTGTGTCCTGCCCCAAAATTCAGTCCTGGGCTTCAGCTTCGAGCTCTGGGGGTGAAAGCTGGGAAAATCTGGTGTTGGAAAATCCGTTTCCTCCTGGTTTTGGGGGTCGTTGGGCAGCGCCGGGGGGAGGTGACCGGGAAAACGCCTCGTGCATGGTGTGAGAGGAATTCCAGGCGTTCCCATGGAGGGAGAGGAAGGGAGCTGGGAGAGGGAATGAGGGGATGGCCCCAAACCCCACCTGGCTCCAGATGCCATTTGTGATTATCTGCTCCCCTTGGCCGAAGTGTTCGTAAAATCCAGGACAAACCCCGGAATTCCTTTGCCTGCCTGGATCTCGCTGCTGTCCCTGCCCTCCCTCTGGAATTCCCTCCCGTGTTTTCCAGCAACCCTTCCCAAAGAAGTTCCCCTTCTCGGAGTTTGTGCCCAAGGTCTACAGCCAGATCAAGGAGTTCATCTACGCCTGCCTCAAGTTCTCCGAGGACCTGCACCTCAGGTGGGAAGGGCTGGCACTGGGAGAGCTCAGCTGGCTCCAGACATGGGTTCTGTCCCTTTGGAAGTGGCCCTGGAGCAGTGGGGCCTCTCCTGGAGGGGGCAATCCCGGGATGGTTTGGGTTGGAAGGAGCTTTGGGGATCACCTGGTGCCAGCCCATCACAGGGACACCTCCCACCATGCTCCAAGCCTCCTCCAGCCTGGCCTTGGACACTTCCAGGGAATTCCAGGCTCCCAGGACAATCCCAGTTGTGTGAGGAGGGAGGGGCTGCTTCCTCCCAGGTGTTTCTGCAGTGGTATTTTAATAAATAGATGATATAGATTAATATTTTAATAAATAGATGAACCTGGGTGTCTGGAGAAAGGCTGTGATGGCCACTTGTCACCAGGAACATCTCTGACCCCCTCTGGCCTCCCCTCCCTGCTCCCCAAGGAGTGGGAATCCCGTGGTTCCATGAAAGCCTTGTCAGGAAGACTCTGAGGGTTGGATTTTTGGTCAGGAACGAGTTTCAGCTGCTCCTTTCGTGCTTTTGTTTTTCTTGTTCCTTCGGGGAGTTTATATACAAATAATGTGATTTTTTTTTATTTTTTTTTTAAAGCCTGCAAAATATTCCATGTGTTTACTCTCCCTGCTCCATCCCGAGGTGCTTTGAGGCTCGTTTCACCCATGTGTACGTGTGTGAGACTGAAGAGCAGCGGGCTCTGCCAGGAGCTCGAGCTGAGGCTTTGCTTTTGCAGCAGCAGCGTGAGCAGCTCGGGAGAGGCTGAGGAGTGAGGGACAAGAATCTGCCTGGGAGGATTCATCCTCCTTCCCTTCCCTGGGAAAACAGGAGGCTGGATTGGGGATTGGGAAGTTCCAGCTCCTTGGGAGCTTCATATCCCAGCCATGACCTGACCCTGGAGCTGCTGGAGAGAGTCCAGAGGAGGCCCCGGAGCTGCTCCAGGGCTGGAGCCCCTCTGCTCTGGAGCCAGGCTGGGAGAGCTGGGAATGTTCCCCTGGAGAAGGGAGAAATGCAGGGAATGCTGAGAGTCCCTGCAGGGGCTCCAGGAGAGCTGGAGAGGGACTGGGGCCAAGGGCTGCAGGGACAGGAGCCAGGGAATGGCTTCCACTGGGAAAGGGGAGATTGGGCTGGGATCTTGGCAAGGAATTCCTGCCTGGGCTGCAATTCCCAGATTTGCTGGGGCTGCCCCTGGATCCCTGGCAGTGCCCAAGGCCGGGTTGGACACTGGGATTGGATCCCAATGGGATATTGGGAGCAGTCCCTGCCCATGGAATGGGATGGGGATGAGGACAGGGATGGGATTTACGGTTCCTTCCCACCCAAACCATTCCATGCCTGCCCTGTTGGGACAGTTCCGGGGGCTCAGCAGCCCTTCCGGTACCTGCCCCAGGCTCTCCAGGATTTCCCTGCTCTCCTTGGAGCCAGGAATGCCGATTTGGAGAAGCATTTTCCCTGCAGGTCCCTGCTTGGTTTGGGAGCTGAGGAGTTTCTCCTCAGCTCCTCTCTGGTGGCTCCCATGGCCACCGTGGCCCCTCTCCCTTTCCAGAGCCCATTCCCGGTGGATGCGGCTCTGGCAGCGCTCCCTCCGGAGCTTCCCCATCCCGGGATGATTGGCTTTGGCAGGACAGGGAGCAGAAGTGTCCCCGTGGGTCCCTCCCGGGGCTCCCTCCGCACCCCTCATTAAAATTCCTTTCCACATTGGATTCTCCAGCCCTTTCGGAGCAGCGGGGGGAGGGGATCCCTGCTCCGGCTCTCGGAGCCAAACATTTGGAATATTTCTCTGCAAACCCCTGTTGACACTTTCTTCATTTCACCCTGACAGCTTGAATTAGGTTTTATTAGGAAGCTTGGCTACAAAGCCGCCAGCGAGTTCCCTTTTCTCTTCCCTTTCTTTTTTTCCCTGGCCCTGTCATTTACGGAGCACCCCGGAGTGCTGGGGGTCAGCCCGTCAGTCACAGGGGCCTGGAGGTCACCGCAGCTGCCACGGGATCCGGGACAGGAGCTGTCATTATCCCAGACAGTTCCCTTCCAGCCTTTTCCTGCACAACACAGCCCACGGCCCAAAGCGCGCCTCCTGCTTTTTTTACTTATTTTTTTCTTTTTTCCCCCTAATTATTTTGTTAAAGCAGCTCCTTGTATTTGTTGGATGGGAGGGTTCTCCTTTATGTGGGATTTGCTTCACTTGGGGGAAGCTTTGAGTGGGTTTGTAGGGCTTGGAGTTTTTATTATTGGCTCTATTAATTGGATTAGAGCAGGAAAATTCCCTTTATCTCCCTTTATCTCCTCAGCACTTTTGCCCTTTTACAAGCTGAGTTCATCAGGTTGCCTTTAAGAGTATCCCCTGGCTTTTCCCAGTGGGATTTCCCATGGGACAAGAGGGAATATCTTTGGGAAACGGTGAAGGATGAGATGGATCACCTCTAATCCACCAAGATTTGGGTTGGGATTGAGGATTTTCTGCAAACGAAGCCCCGCTCCTGCAAAAGCTTGGAATACAAAGTTCAGGGACAGCTCCCACTGTCCCAGGCTGCTCCAATCCCAGTGTCCAGCCTGGCCTTGGGCATTCCCAGGGATCCAGGGGCAGCCAAAGCAAATCTGGGAATTCCATTCCAGGGCCTCCCCGCCTTCCCAGCCAGGAATTCCTTCCCAAGATCCCACCTCACCCATTCCCTCCCCCCACTTGCAGCATCCCAGCATCCCCCACCTTTCTCCCGGGATAACTTCAAGGTTGGATTCTGTTTCCCACGTCAATCCCGGCTTTGTGACGTGGCTCCTCTGCCAGGTGGAGCAGGAGACGGAGCCAAAGGTCAGGGGCTCGATTTACCGGGACACTTCCCGGCCTTCCCGCTGGGAATTCCCTCTCCTGCCCCTGACTGCAGGGGACAATTCCCGGTGCTGCCAGGGCTAATCCAGATCCAAGGAGCCTCTGGCAGGGTGGGTTGGAAAAACCTCCTGGAGAAAGGAGCAGTGGCACTGTGAGCACCTTGGAGGGGCCGAACCCCCAAATTCCAGCAGTGCTGCTGTTCCAGACACCTGGGAAAGGGCAGGAATGGGGTGCAGGAGTTTCCTGTCTGGTGTTCCAATACTGGAGCCAGGCTGGGAGAGCTGGGAATGTTCCCCTGGAGAAGGGCAAAATGCAGGGAATGCTGAGAGTCCCTGCAGGGGCTCCAGGAGAGCTGGAGAGGGACTGGGGCCAAGGGCTGCAGGGACAGGAGCCAGGGAATGGCTTCCACTGGGAAAGGGGAGATTGGGCTGGGATCTTGGCAAGGAATTCCTGCCTGGGCTGCAATTCCCAGATTTGCTGGGGCTGCCCCTGGATCCCTGGCAATGCCCAAGGCCAGGTTGGACACTGGGGCTGGGATCTGGGACAGTGGGAACTGTCCCTGCCCTTGGGATGGGGTGGGACGGGATTTGAGGTCTCTTCCCACCCAAACCATTTTGGGATTCTGGGATTCTGGGAGTTGTGCTGTGCTGAGGAGCCCCTGTGTGGAAATCCAGGGATCTTTGGAAGTGTCTCCTTCTTAAACCCATTCCCAGTGCCCTCGTTTCACTCCTGCAGTTTTTCCAGTTCTCTGTTAAGATCCTTTCCAACCCAAACCATTCCATGTTTCTGTAATTTTGTCTAAAAGCCCAGAAAGGGCTAAGAGGGGAATTTTGGGGGATTTGATTTGGGGTTTCACTGCTGCAGATCTTTTCCCCTGGACTCACATTCAAATCCCCAGCGCTGGGGTGGGGCTGCCATGGGTGGCTCTTCCTTGGGCTGCACCGGCCCCTCCGGGATGGGAGGCTGAGGAATGTGGGATTTGCTGGTGTTAATCCACCTTTCCTCCCAAAACATGGATAAAAAAGGCCAGAATTTGCTTATTTTGATGTATTTAAAACAAGTGAGCACTGCACAGCTGCTCAGGGATGAGGCAGGGGAGAGTCGGGAAGGAGGATGAGGAGAATCCCTGATTTTCTTTCCATGGAGCATCTTGGAAATTCCTCTTTCCCTTTCACTTCACAGCTCCACGGAGGTGGATGACATGATCAGAAAATCCACAAACCTGCTGCTGACCCGGACCCTGAGCAACTGTTTACAGAACGTGATCAAGAGGAAAAACGTTGGACTGACAGAGGTGGGATGTGGATTCCCTTGGGAACGGAGGGACAGGAGCCAGGGAATGCCTTCCACTGGGAAAGGGGAGATTGGGCTGGGATCTTGGCAAGGAATTCCTGCCTGGGCTGCAATTCCCAGATTTGCTGGGGCTGCCCCTGGATCCCTGGCAGTGCCCAAGGCCAGGTTGAACATTGGGATTGGATCCTGCTGGGATTGTGGGAAGTGTTGGAGACGGAATTAGATCATCTTTGAGATCCCTTCCAAGCCAAACCATTCCTGGATTGTGGGATTCCAGGGCAGGGTGACAGGAGGTCCCTTGGAGCTCCTTCAAGCACCTTTGGAGGTGCTGGTTTGGAGCAGTCCATGAAATATTGGGATATGAAATACGAAAACAATGGAACTGCTCAGGGTTGTTGGACAGAGCAGGGAATTTTGGATTGTGGCAAAGTGAAGAGGTTTCTTTGCTTTTGGTTGTGAATTTTGCTCTCTTCATTTTTTGGAATCTGAATGAAAGTCAGAGGACTTTAGGGAGGGCCAGGGAAGATCCAAGGTGGAAATGTGAGGGAATGGGGCAGCAATCCTCATTTCCAGGCGATGTTTGAGTGGGTTCATCACGTTGCTGCAGCACAAACCCTAATGTGGGATTTTCTCGGTGCTCCATCCTTTTCTCTGTACAAAATCAGGTTTCTGATGATTTTAATCCATGTAAATCTGCAGGACCCCAGGGAAGGTGTGACCTCTGTGTGCTGGTATTGACCAAGGAATTATTAATTGCTTAATTAGTAATTGCTGCCTTGGATCATGTCAGCCATGGCTTTCCCTTCCCAACTTTTCCTTTCTCTCAAACATCCCACAGCTCCTCTGGACACCCTGTTCCAGTTCTGCACCTTTTCCAGTGCCTCTTTTCCTTCCCAGTGTCCAGGCTGAACCTTCCAAGGTGTCACCACCACCTTTCTGACGCCACCAGCACCAGTGCTGGGACCTTCGTGGTGTGACTTCGCAATTTCTGCGCCTGCCCCTCGGAAATCGCTGATGAATCCAATCTCCCTCAGATTTGGGAGCGTTTCCAAACCCTTCCTGCACGGGAGGTGGCTCCAGACAGCCCCGCCACGCTCCAGCAGTGAAATGACACCAACCCAGGGCGTTCTGCTGCCCCGGGGGCTGGCAGAGATCTGCCCACCCCACACCTGCCAGAGCCAAACCTCGTGGTTCCTTTGTTCAGGGCCCGTGTGATGCTGCTCGGTGTCACTCAAGTGTGGGTTCTTTTTCGGGTTCAGCGGCAGCCAGGAGCCTCCTGATGTGTCCTGGCAGTTTTTTGGGGAGCCCTGAGTGACAGCTCAATGTAGGAAAGTCCTTCCAAAAAAATAAAATCGCCTCCCATGGTATTAGTGGCTGTCATGGGAAATGCCTCCCCCCCAAAATTATCTTGGATTTAGGTGTTGTTCAAGGGGGAGAGACTGGAGCCTGTATCAAAGCTCGGGGTGTTTGCACAGCGTCAGCTTTTCACGCCAGGATTCCATGGAATTGGCATCCCTTCACCTGGCAGCGGGGCTGAAACCCTTCCTTGCCTTCCCAGCTCGTACAGATCATCATCAACACCACCCACCTGGAGAAATCCTGCAAGTTCCTGGAGGAGTTCATCACCAACATCACCAACGTCCTCCCCGAAACCGTCCACACCACCAAGCTCTACGGGACCACCACCTTCAAGGTGAGCGGGGCGGGGGCTCCCCGCCCGGGAGGGATCTGCAGGGCTGAGCCCAAGGATAATTCGGGCCTATTTTGGGAAGGTTGCGCCACAGCTTTGGGTTTGTCCTCCGGAGCGTTGCTCCTGTCGAGATCGTGGGAGGTTTTCTCCTTAACTTACAGCCCTAATTAGCTGAAGGATTAAGGAGATTTTAAACTAAAGCCTGGTAATTTATTTCTTATTTAAATAAATCCTCACTGTGCTGTTGGAGTGCTGTGTCATGGACACCAGGCTCCTCTTCCACCCAGAATTTGTATTTCTCCATCTTTCCACTCCTTTTTTGCATTATCCCCTAAAAATCGGGGCTGACAGAAACTCCCAGATTTTCCAGCCTTTAAATCCCACTCCAGGAGCATTCATCCCGATGCTTTATGTGGGATCTGGCTGGGTTGAGTGGGGTGTCTGAGTTGTGTCCTGTGCAGATCCAGAGGTGGGAACAGCAGGAATAGGTTTGGTGAGGCTTTGCCTCGGGGTAACCCAGGCTGGTGTCCCCAGGGAAGTCCATCCTGGAATTTTCCACCTGTTTGCCCTTCCTCTGGCAGGGAGGCTCCTGAACACCAGCCCTGCCCTGCGTTTGGTGGGGTTTCCATGGGGAATGTTCCTCTCCCATCTCAGGATCACGGGATGTTCGGAGCTGTAGGGACCCACAAGGATCATCAGCTCCTGCACGGCCCACCCAGGGCCTGAACCACAACCTCGGTGTCACCAGCCAGGTTCCCACCGCTGCAGCCAATCTCTGCTCCAGCCCCTCTGGAGCTGCCCTCAGGTCACAGCAGGGGCAGGATCCAGCTCCATCCTGCCCACCACCACCTGCTGGTCCTGTCCCACCAGCCACAGCCTGCAGCAGCCTCGTGGTTGCCTCCTTGAGCTGTGGGGTTGTGTCACCTCCCGGCCTAAAGGTTGGGTGAAGCTCCTGCCCCATTAGAGGGTGGTGTAGAGCTCCCATCCCATGTGGGATTTCAGTAGGGTGGAGCTCCCATCCCATGTCAGGTCTCAGTGGTGTGGATCTCCCATCCCATGTGGGATTTTGCTTGTGTGGAGCCCCCATCCCATGTGGGATTTCAGTAGGGTGGAGCCCCCACCCCATATGGGGTCTCAGTGGTGTGGATCTCCCATCCCAAGTGGGATTTTTCTTGTGAGGAGACCCCATCCCATGTGGGGTCTCAGAGGTGTGGAGCTCCCATCTCATGGGGGGTCTCAGTGGTGAGGAGCCCCCATCCCACGTGGGATTTCAGCAGGGTGGAGCTCCCTTCCTGTGTGGGATTTCAGTAGGGTGGAGCCCCCATCCCATGTGGGACCTCAGTGATGAGGAGCCCTCATCCCATGTGAGGTGTGGGGTCTCAGTGGTGTGGAGCCCTCATCCCATGTGGGATTTTGCTTGTGAGGAGCCCCCATCCCATGTGGGGTCTCAATGGTGAGGAGCCCACATCCCATGTGAGGTGTGGGGTCTCAGAGGTGAGGAGCTCCCATCCCACGTAGGATTTTGCTTCTGAGGAGCCCCCATCCCACACCTTGTCTCATTCCCAGGACGCCCGGCACGCCGCCGAGGAGGAGATCTACACCAACCTCAACCAGAAGATCGACCAGTTCCTGCAGCTGGCAGACTACGACTGGATGGCCCTGGAGCCGGGCAGCCGGGCCAGCGACTACCTGGTGGATCTCATCGGCTTCCTGCGCAGCACCTTCGCCGTGTTCACCCACCTCCCGGTGAGCCCTTCCCTCCCTCCCGCCCCGGGCTGCTCTGGGGACTCGCTGGGGCGTGCTGGGGAGCTGGGGAGGATGGAGGAACAATTCCACTTTTAAAGGCAGGTGTTTCACCTGCCACCACAAGCTGGGCTCCAGTAGGACTCTCCCAATGATTTGCAAGTCGGATTTTGTGGGATGGAAGCTCCACCACCTACCAGCAGGATCATAATTTATTCCCCACCTGCATTTTAGATATTTTAACTTCCAGTTAATGGCCATCCAGGATTTTTTTTTCCCAGAAAAATCCAGCCTATGGGTGCGTTACTCAAACTACAGCTGCATTTCCAAGTGTTTGTCAGGTCCCTGATGCCTCCCATCCCAATATTGCTCCCTTGGAAGGCACCAGATGTTTCTTTCTTCCCTCTGCTGTCTCAAGTCCCCGTGTTTATGCTGCTGTTGCCATCAGAAATGTGCTTTATGTTGCTTTTTGCAGTCAGCTGAGTGGTGTCTCATTGGTAGGAAAAATCCAATCACCAGGGAGGTTCCTTTTTGCTCCAGCAGCTTTTTTTCCTCCTCTGAATGGGATTTGTTCTGAGCTTGTGTGGATACACTCTCGGGAGGAGCTGGGATCAGCAGGTTATTTTGAAACAGCAAATCCCCTGAACTCTGTGGTTGTTCTAAAAGCAATCTCACATCTTCCTTTCTTTACAAAACTGGGATTTATTTGCTGCTTTCACGAGCTGGGAATAAACAGGAAGGGAAGATTTAATATTCCCCAGTGGCAGCCTCCTTCACTCTGTCCGTGCCCTGAGATTCTCCTCTGGAAGGAGCTGATTTGGGAGGTGCCGCACCCCCAAACTGCAGCCTCGTGTCCTTGGGCATCCCCATCCCAGCAGGAAGGTCTGGGAGCAGGGGGAGCTCAGGCTGATTTCCTGTGGGGTAGAAGCCCCCAAAAGGATTTCCTGTGGTGAGGAGAAGTGGCTTTCCCAGCTCTGTTATCAGCGGGACAAACTGGCAAATCCACGGATAAATCAGGTGTTGCCTCCTGGGCAGGACTTGGATCCTGGCCAGGTTTGTCCCAAACGTCCAAGTGTGCTGTGGCAGGTGCCTTCCAGAGCCAGGAGAGGCTGGAAATGTCTGGATTTCTCCTTGAAAAAGGAGCTGTGGGTTGGTTTAGCACCTGGAGCCTTCCACCCATCACGCTGGGAATACTCGGGAGCCAGTAATGGAATCTGACAGGGAGATTGGTCTCGGCACCGGAGCATGAAGCAGCAGAGATGAGCTGGGGGGAGATGCCCACAGTGATTTATGAGGTGGGCCAGGAGTGATTTATCTTCCTTAAATATTAATGTTTTCTTTTGGAGCCAGGCAGGCTTGGTTTGGAGGCTGGGAGGACTCGAGTTGGTCTAAAAAGCACCAGGACAGACCGAGGCAGCCTTTTGTCTTCCCGAGCTGGGTTAGAAAAGCCCCAGCTGAGGAGAAGCTGGGCTTTGCTGGGCAGCCCCTGAGCTCCCCAAAGCCTGGGCAGGGTTTGGAGGCACCTCAGCCTGGTTTGGGCAGCTGCAGGTCTGGTTCGAGGCCTTGTGGGAGCTGCAGCTTTGGGATTTTTTAACATTGGTTGGAGTTTTTTTTTCCTTTTGCTGCTGATGGATCACCCAAAGGGTGGGTGAGAGCAAGCCAGGAAGGACCAGGCTGCATCCCAAAGGCCTCCACATCCTTTGGTGTCCAGGTTCTTCATCCTGCTAGGGTTCAGGTAGTTTTTCCAGTGGCTGAGGTAGGAGCACACTGAAATTCCAGGGCTTTGCTGCTGGAGCGCAGGAGATCAAGGTGTTGTCCAAAGGCATGCAGGAAATGATGGAGGTGTTTGTTAAAGCACCAAAAATGTGGGATGAGCGTCAGCTGGGGAAGGAAAGAGCGAGAGGGACGAAGGAACATTTCCAAAAAGGGGGAATTCCAGCTCTAGGAGGATATCCAGGGCTCTGGGGACAGGGTGGAGCTGGTCCAAACCCATCCCAGTCCATCAGCACGAGAGGTGTGACTGGAGATAAAGCAGGAGAGTTTTGGGGTCTGAGAGGAGCTGCTGCCCTGTTTGAGATGAGTTTTCATCCTGGTTCCCATAAAATCCAGGATTTCCACAGCTCCAGTAGTTCCAGGACTGCGTCCCATGCTGGGATGATGAGGTGTCCTCAGAGCACCACCCATTCCTGCTCTCCTTTCCTGGTTTGGAAATGCCCTCATCTTCCAGAGCTGATTCCCGTTGAATTTACGGGATTTTGGCCAAGTGAAAGGTGTTCCCCTGGTGTCAGGAGGTGCAGGTTTGTTGCTCCCTTTTGTCCCAGCTGGAATGACGCCTCTGCCTGCCCATCAGAGAACCTCAGCCCGGGCATGTCGGAGTTCCTGGGCTAAAATTCCAGCTCCAAAAAGCCCCATCATGGAAAAGAGCTGAGCCCAAAGTCCTGAGGCTGCAGAAATGCGCCGTGACGGGGCTGAGGAATCCCATTGTCCCCACGGAGCTGCAGGAAAACCTCTCGGGGTCACGGCTCCAGCTGCCCCAGGGAGGCTCCAGTGGCCTTGGGAGATCCTTGGGACTCAGCATTGGAGAGGGAGGGGGTGAAAGGAGCTGAAAGGAATCTGAGCCGGGATTTGGGATTTGGGTTTATGTTTCCCCCTTTGGGCTGAATTTTTCCTGTATTTCTTGGGAATCCTGGAATTGTTGTATTGAGCAGTTTGGGCTGGAAGGGGCCCTTGAAGGCCACCTCCCCCAAGGCCCTGCAGTAAGCAGGGACATCTTCAACTGGATCAGGTTGTCCAGAGCCACGGCCTCGCGTTTTTCCAGGGATTTTCCCTCCACCATTTCTCTGGGCACCCAGCAAAAACAGCCCAGCCCAAAACCCCTGGCTGGTGCAGCGGCCTGAAGAGTTTCCATTTTCTCTGGAGCTCAAGCAGGAGCTGCAATCCCAAATTTTTTCCTTTGCCATTGTGGGAGATGACGGAAACCACTTGGTTTTAGGAATCCCTGGAATCTGTTTGCACGTTGTGCTTTTCTGGGGGGACATCTTCAACTGGATCAAGAAGTCCTGAGCCATGGCCTTGGATTTTTCCGGGGGTGAGGCCTCCACCGCCTCTGTGGCCACCTGGCAAAAACAACCCAGCCCAAAATCCCGGCTGGAGCAGCGGCCTAAAGAGCCTCCGCTTTTTCTAGGCCTTGCAATCCCAAACTTTTCCTTTGCCGTTGTGGGAGATGATGGAAACCACTTGTTTTTGGGAATTCCTGGAATTTCTTTGCACGTTGCAGTTTTCTGGGGGGCGCCAGCGCCGTGGGGACAGTGTGTGCCGGGGGGCAGGAAAAGTTCACGGAGAACTTCCCGGGGTTTTGGTGCATGCCAGTGCTGCATGAAACGGTCATGGTGGTTTGGAGCCACAATTCCAAAACGCTCCACTAAGTGCCCAAAAATGTCTCTGAGCAAATAAAACGCTGATGGGAATCAAAGCATAATTAACATTTGGCTCCCGAGGCCGCCCTCTTCCTGCGTTAACCAGGGAGAGTGGGTTCCTGCTGCTGCTGCTGCTGCTGTGGAGCTCATTAATATGGGATGCTCGGGTCTCCTTCAAAAGAAAAACCTCTTTTTTTAAGGGTGAAAACAAACAAAAATTTTAGTACAAAAAGTATTTTAGGCCTTAAAAAGAAAAAAAAAAAGGAAAAAAAAAAAAAGGTGGTTTCTGGTTTTCAGCAAGCAAAGGGCCACGGCCTCCAAAAATGAATATTTCCAGCCTAAGACTTTGCAAAGAATGACTGAAAAAGCCTTTTGTCTTTGATGGCTGATTGTTGTTTTTATTTCTTGTTGGACAAGTTAATGTAAATGGCATTGACAGGGCTACTCCAAACACACTGATTTGTTGACATTAAGCTCCTCAGAGATGGAGGGTTGTGTCAACACCTCCCCTGAACTGTCAGGTTAACAAAGCAAGGATGTTTTCTTGGGGGAGGGGAGCGGGGCTGGGGGAAGGAGGGGGGGGTGTTTTGTTTTTATTTTCAGTTTCCTTTAATCCTCTGTTAGTCTTGTATCTCGATAACCTCCTTTGGAAGGGAATCAGGGCAGGTCAAGAGGTGAGGCAGACCTGGGAAGGGGAAGCAATCTTTCAGCGATCCAACAAATCCAAACCTCTGCCGCTGAGCACTTCAGTGTGAACCCTCTGCAGTGGGGGTTTTCTTTTTTTTTCCCCTATTTTTTTTTTTCCCCTTTTCTGCTTATTTTTGCCAGATGGCAGGCACAGATTTCAGCTGGAGCCGTGACGGTTTTTTGCCTTCTCTTGGCATCTCTTCCCCCTCGCAAACGAACGGCCCCGGCAGCTCTTGCTCTGGTAGAAAGAGCTTTGCAAGTGTTTATTTTCTTTCCAAAGAGAACGATTGCCTGTGTTTTTATTTGAAAAGTCAAATCCCTCTGGAATATTTATAAGCCAAGGCCCTGTGCATGGAAGCGAAATGCCGTGAACTTTGCACCAACCACAGCCTCGGCCACGCTGGGAGGGACCCAAGTGGAAAATAACCATCAGGAAAACATCTCAGGAGCACCAGAGTCACCCCTGGCTTTGCACAAGTCCAGTCTGTGCTTAAATAACTCCCCAGAGCTGAGCAAGCCCTGCTGGAGCCGATCCCAGCTGTCCCTCCCGGGGTTTGATGATCCTGCAGGTGGGATGGTGACGTGCAGGGCAGGAGAGCTGGAGAGGGACAGGACACAGGGAATGGCTTCCACTGCCAGAGGGCAGGGATGGATGGGATCTTGGGAAGGAATTCCTGCCTGGGGTGGAATTCCCAGATTTGCTGTGGCTTCCTGTGGATCCCTGGCAGTGCCCAAGGCCAGGCTGGACATTGGGGCTTGGATCCAGCTGGGATAATGGGGGATGTTTGGATCAGGATGCTCTTTAAGATCCCTTCCAACCCAACCCTTTCCAGGATTCTGTGACAGAATGACAACAAAACCCTTGTGGCACTTTATCCTCCTCCTCCTCCTCCTCCAAGC